TGATCGACTTCCTTTGATGCACACCCCACTCGCGGAATTTATAACCTGCATATATGTACTTAGCTAGACAGACCAGTATTTTCGAGTTGTAGGAGAATGGATTGCTTACTGTTGATATGTAAGGACCAAGTCAGGATGTATCAGATTCGGAGTTGTGTTGCGTTTGTGACCGTGTGTTGTATTTATGTTTTAATTCAATCTAACTGAGGCATTCGGCTACAAGTCGGGTTGCCAGGTGAAAATTTTCCTTCGGGCTGCCCGCCCCGGCCCACTGACATCCCCACAGTTTATGTACAGCATTTTGTTTTGCTGAAAGGTTTCCGAAGTCCAGATAGGTCAGCACCAATCTCATTCTTTATTCTGTTTGACAATCCATCTTCTCACACAAGTATTCAACACTGACACGTTCTCCTTCTCATCCGGACTTTGACTCTTGTAGAGGTGCTCTTATAAGCGCAATTGAATCTTCGTGATCACTGACAATCAATGGTCATACCAAATTACTCCCAAAAGTTGGTGCACGTCGTTGCAATTCACCTTGAATTGTTTTTTGAAATCTTGAGAAGTACCTGTCAATGTCTGAGCGATAAAATTCGTAATAAGCCACCGGATCTTGGCCCAACGTAGTTTGACAGATGATGTGATCTTTAGAGTCTTCCACTGCTGTTTTAACCGACTTGATGACTCTGAAAAGTGCCTGGAGTTGTTTGCGATCCAGCCTACACAGTCTTGGCTTGTCATACCAGTCTACTAATTGCTGTCATTCAAAGGTTTATCTTTAATGGTCAGATTCATCAATCCATTGAAAGCCTCTGAAAAATGATTGATAATCTTTTTCAACTCAAACTCCTTAACCTCCCCACTCAAATGAAAAAGGCCAAGGAATCAAATTCAGAAAGTCCCATCTGGATTCTTCTCAGATTCAGTGATCCACCATAGGCAGTCATTTCCCACATCAGTCTATTCAAGTTTGCCTTGAAATCAGTTTTGTTCCATTGAGATGGTGGTGTGCTCAGTTTCTGGTTCAGATTCAGGCTTGATTGGTGGTGACAAAAGTGGTCTGGTCTCAGCTGGGGTCCCGTTATCATCATCTTTGGGTAATTCGGATTGTGCATCAATCAAGGCTTCTGGGCTGGTCTCTTTGGAGGAAACAATTTGAGGTTTCTCTTCCTTGTTGTCATGCTGAATTACCACCAGCGTCTTTGGTACCTTTCGAAATGGATGGTCGCTGTCGTCACTCTCACTAGTCTGAATCTGAGTCAGAGAAGATTTGAGGGCTTGGTTTGCAACCCACTGGTTCACTTGTGTAAGTCTGCCTAGTACTGCTGCCTTGCACAATGTCATCAGGAGCATCTTCTCTAGAAGTTATTGGGCTTGGTTTGCAATCCACTGGTTCACTTGTGTAAGTCTGCCTAGTACTGCTGCCTTGCACAATATCATCAGGAGCATCTTCTCTAGAAGTTGTTGGCGCGCCTCATTGCAATTCACCTTGAGTTGTTTTCTGAAATCTTGAGAAGTACCCGTCAATGTCTGAGCAATAAAATTTGTAATATGCCACTGGATCACCTGAGTCCTCTGACCAAACCAGAGGAGACCCATCCCCAGCAGCAAAACCACTCACCTGAGAATGATTGACTTGCCTTTGAAATCTCTTATCTCCCCTCTTCCTTTGACATCCCCAAAATGATCGATAATCTTTTTCAACTCAAACTCCTTAACCTCCCCACTCAAATGAAAAAGGCCAAGGAATCAAATTCAGAAAGTCCCATCTGGATTCTTCTCAGATTCAGTGATCCACCATAGGCAGTCATTTCCCAAATCAGTCTATTCAAGTTTGCCTGGAAATCAGAGGAAAATGAAAGGGTTACATTTTTGACTGATGACAGTGAGTAAAATTATCAATTCTCTTTTTTCTTATTTATATATCATGTTTGTCCTTTTTACTTACATTGCTGCTGTTGAGTTTCAGGGGATAGCTCAATTGAAGATAAGTGGAAACTTTTGTCCACTGCAATTGTGTGGCATGAGCCACCCATTAAAGCATACAGTAAGTTGTGACATTTGTATTTTAGAGGATTCAACTTCAAGCACACCAGCTTAATTAATATATATTTTTTGGTCTTATGTA